GGAAAATGTTTCACCAGATAATGCTTGGAGAGTTGGTTCAACTTGAACGTCAGGACAGATTTCTGTAAGAAGGTCTGCTGTTATGTCCCTGAGTTCATTGTGTCGTAGAGATGGGAAGCCACCACACTTACAGTTAAGTGCATGCTCAATTGACTTGTTGGAACCACAAACACAGTGAGTTGGTAAATGAGGAGGAGTCCAGCCGTAGCGAAGACATAGAGCATCACAGAAGGCACCTTTGTACATTATGTACATGTAGTTCATTAAACCCAATACATTATGTACATGTAGTTCATTAAACCCAATACATTATGTACATGTAGTTCATTAAACCCATTTCATTATGTATATGTAGTTCATTAAACCCAATACATTATGTCCATGTAGTTCATTAAACCCATTTCATTATGTATATGTAGTTCATTAAACCCAATACATTATGTCCATGTAGTTCATTAAACCCATTTCATTATGTATATGTAGTTCATTAAACCCAATACATTATGTCCATGTAGTTCATTAAACCCAATACATTATGTCCATGTAGTTCATTAAACCCAATACATTATGTCCATGTAGTTCATTAAACCCAATACATTATGTATATGTAGTTCATTAAACCCAATACATTATGTATATGTAGTTCATTAAACCCAATACATTATGTACATGTAGTTCATTAAACCCAATACATTATGTCCATGTAGTTCATTAAACCCAATACATTATGTATATGTAGTTCATTAAACCCAATACATTATATACATGTAGTTCATTAAACCCAATACATTATGTATATGTAGTTCATTAAACCCATTTCATTATGTACATGTAGTTCATTAAACCCAATACATTATGTCCATGTAGTTCATTAAACCCAATACATTATGTACATGTAGTTCATTAAACCCAATACATTATGTACATGTAGTTCATTAAACCCAATACATTATGTCCATGTAGTTCATTAAACCCAATACATTATGTACATGCAGCTCATTAAACCCAATACATTATGTACATGTAGTTCATTAAACCCAATACATTATGTACATGTAGTTCATTAAACCCAATACATTATGTACATGTAGTTCATTAAACCCAATACATTATGTACATGTAGTTCATTAAACCCAATACATTACCGTATGGCTAGAGAATTTCGAGGGCATAAATTTTCGTGTTTTAGTGAAAAGCTCTTAATTCTTTAATTTCGAGGGAGTTAAATTTCGCGTTTTTGCACGTGCACTTGCATTAAGTCATTGATTTTCACATGCTGCACATGCGCAGTGAGCATTTCCATGGTATTAATTTTCGTGGTTAAAAAGTTACCCACAAAATCTGCGAAATTAAATACCCCACGAAATTTTCTAGCCATACGGTATGTACATGCAGTTCATTAAACCTAATACAATATGTACATGTATCCATACCTGGTTGTTGGTGTTTTTATTAATGGTTGAATATAGTCCAGTAGCACCAGTAGACAGACCCTGTTGACCCTTATTCTATTAATAATACATTATATGA